CCCATGAGTCCTACCAAAACTAGAGCTTTTCGTTGCAATAGGAGATTGACTATGAGCGCGAGGAGAAAAATTGAAATAAATGTTGTTGCAGGAATTCCTCTTCACAAAACCTACACCTCTGCCGTCGTAGAAGCGGGCGGTTATGAGAATTTACCATTCATTGAAAAGGATTGTAGGAACTACGTTGACAAGGTTCGCCGCTTGCGTTTAGGAAATGGTGATGCCATTGCAATTCAAAGTTTCTTTTGCAAAATGCAAGCGGAGTGCCCCAGTTTTTTCTTTGCCCTTGATGTAGATGATGAATCTCGCCTTCGCAATGTCTTTTGGGCAGACAAGCGGTGCCGGTATGCTTATAGAGATTTTGGAAATGTAATAACTTTCGATACAACTTATCTCACCAATAAGTACGACATGCCCTTTGCACCTTTTGTAGGAGTCAACCACCATGGGCAATCCATCTTGTTAGGTTGTGGCTTAATTTCAAATGAGGACACCACCACATTTGTGTGGTTGTTTAAAAAGTGGCTTGAGTGTATGGATGGTTGTCCTCCTAGTGGAATTATTACCGATCAAGATAGGGCAATGCAAAATGCCATTCAAATAGTGTTCCCAAATACAAGACATCGGTGGTGTCTATGGCATATAATGAAGAAGGTGCCTGAGAAGATGGGAGGGTTGACTGATAAAGACGAAGTTAGTGCTTGTTTACATGATGCTGTTTATGACTCCCAAACAGGTGCACAATTTGAGTTCGCATGGAGTTCTATGTTGCAAAGGTAAGCATTTGTTTTTTACAAGTTCTATTCAATATCACAACTATCGTAATATTCATGTGGACAAATGTGCAGGTTTCAGCTTAATGACCATGAATGGTTACATGTGCTTTACAATGAAAGACATCGGTGGGTGCCATGCTACTTGAGGCCAACGTTTTGGGCAGGGATGTCAACGACCCAACGTAGTGAGAGCATTAACGCATTTTTTGACGACTTTGTTCATTCTAAAACAAGTCTAAAGGAATTTGTTGATCAATACGGGCGTGCGTTGAAATCCAAAGTAGAGAAAGAGTTCCAAGAGGATGCTAAGTGTCTCACCAAAATGTTGCCTTGTGTGAGTATATATGCCATGGAACATCAGTTGCAACAAATGTACACACTTGCAAAGTTCAAGGAGTTTCGAACTCAAATGGCCGGGAAGTTGCATTGTGACCTGTTAGGGTGTGAGGATGGTATACATTACAATATCCGTGAAGACAAAAAGGAGAATGGGGTTTTTTTCAAAACAATCCATGTTGTGGTTGAGTACGATAATTCTATCCCTAATTCTAAAGCAGTGTGCACCTGCCACTTATATGAGTTTAGAGGGATTGTTTGTAATCACATCATCACAGTACTTGTGCGTAACGGAGTTCACGTCCTACCAGAGTGTTACATCATGCAAAGGTGGAGGAGAGATATCAAAAGAGGATACACAAGAGTTAAAATTAACTATGATGGTTGGATTACGACTAAAGAGCAACAACGGTTTGACAAGTTATGCACCACATTTGAAAGACTTGCGAATAGTGTGGCCGATGATGATGAACATTATGAACGCGTCTTGAAATGGCTTGAAGGTGAGTTGGAAAAATGCAACATGTCAAATGCTCGTTCATCAATTTGTGGAGTTATGACTCAATTAACGGACACCCTGCCAATCCAAGTCATAGGCGTGAACGCACAAACAACTGTTGCTATTGAAGATCCAAATAGGACAAAACGTAAAGGCGCTCCGAGAAAGACTAGGCAAAAAGGACCTATTGAAAAGGGGAAGAAAAAATCAAAGGTACATCCATTTGTTTGTGAAGCCGGAGCAATGTGTCCAGGCACAGACATTTAGCCAATGGAACCCGTGTGAATTGCCTGTGGGACCATAGTAAATTGTCTGTTCACAGACAAATACCTACTGGAACCCCTATGTCACCAGCCAATGAAGTGTCTGTGAGACCCCACTTATTTGTTTGTTCACAGACAAATACCTACTGGAACCCCTGGGCCACCAAATTATGAAATGTCTGTGAGACCATACTTATTTGTCTGGTCACAGACAAATACCTACTGGAACCCCTGGGTCACCAAATTATGAAATGTCTGTGAGACCATACTTATTTGTCTGGTCACAGACAAATAGTTACTGGAACCCCTGGGTCACCAAATTATGAAATGTCTGTGAGACCATACTTATTTGTCTGGTCATAGATAAATAGCTACTGGAACCCCTGAGTCACAAAATTATAAAATGTCTGTGAGACCATACTTATTTGTCTGGTCACAGACAAATAAGCTACTGGAACCCCTGGGCCCAGATATTTAGCGACTGGAACTGGATATTTTATGAACACTCATTTGAACTACAATTGCAATTATAAACAGGGGTGGCTGAAGAAGCAAGGGGTGATAACATCAGAGGAAGTGGCTGGACCAAGCAATGTTGAAGGTGTAGGAGACGTAGGACCAACAAATGCTACATCAACCAGTTTACAGTGGATGTATAATGATGATTTAAGCTTGAATCTTTCTGTGTTCTAGAGAATTACAATGATTGTAATTACACAATATTTTGTATCATGACAAAAATTCACATATGATGATATGTTGTGACATTGTTCACAGTTTTCATTTATCAGACCCAACATATATTGACAATGCAAATTTACTACCATCAAATTTTGACATGTATACTTAGCAAATGAATAAACAACACTTTGAAATGTTTGTGTACCATCAAATTCGACATGTATACTAGGAAATGAATAAACAACACTTTAAAATGTTTGCCATAACTATATTCAAAATGTCGCACTTTATGACGATCAATGATCCACAAAACCAGAAGTTGATATACATATGTTTGGTTTAGGGATTACATAAAAAACAGAAGCATATATATAACTAATTCGGGGCATACGATTACAAATTGTTACCACAAAAAATAAGTACTTTGGTTTAAGTGTTTTTTCCCATCATTCACAAGGACAAAAATATATATATGGACAGCCCGTCATACATTCTTCAATCTTCTATGCTTTCTTCCTAAAACCCCATAGGCGTACTGCAAAGTTGTTTCGTATTGTGCGGCAGTTGTCGTACTCACACCCGGGTGTTAAGGGGAGGTCGTGCATCAAATGTTTAGCAAACGCCATAACCATAACACCGAATACTCCACTCCTGCACAATAGTAATAATGAAGTCATATACACATATACGATTCCACCGGAAATCAAACACCATAAGCATAAGAATATTTATCAATATTTTTTACCCTATTCCTTGTTGTGGAACCCCATCAACAGCCACTGCCTCCCATGGTCTAAGGTGTAAGGGACGTGGGAGATCATGTTGAATCTCTTGTAGTAGATAAGGAAGCCTCGAGCACAGATCAAATGCATACCATTTACTTCGGGAAGTCTTCAAGGAATCATAAACTTTAACCACGACCTCCTCCAAATTCACCTCACAAAAGATCCAGTGTTTATTTTCAACATTCAACGGAATTAATACCTGCGAATGAATAAAAAATGAGTTGAAGATGTATGTGTAGCATTGCAATAACATCACTTAATTGTATGTGGATAACACAATATATGTAACAAGCCACACCTTTGACAACCCACGCCAGTCAATACGTTTCAAGAATCTGTCTCCACTCCAATCTTCTGGCTTGTCAAATCTCTTCTTCTTCAATAGATTCTGCATTTAAGCAATGATAGACACAAATTTCTTTAATACTAATGGGAGACACCTACACTACACTCCATAACATGTGGATGTTAGAGATTACCACAAAGAACATGGAAATTATTTGACACTGTTGATCCTGAAATCTTTGGCTCATCAACAAGTTAGTTAGGGCATCAATGTGCTACAAGAAAATGGTTCAAATTAAGGAAATTAAGGATTAAAATGTCTGTCCAAACACGTATGTACTGATCCAGGCACATAAAATGTTGAAGCATAAATGTCTGTAAGCACAGGGATTTCATATTAATGTCTGTGCACACAGGCACTTAGTAAAAATTACTTAATGGATATACCCTTAACTTACCATACTGCTCAACCATTCCTGTGGAGCTATGAGGTCAGAGAAGAACTTTCTATCAACAGTCATATGGATTGGCATGTCTAACATCACACACACCGGTTCCTCAGTAGCAGGGGCTTCCGTCCAACTCTTGAGCTCATTCAAGAGTTTATCTTCTTCTGAAATGTCTGTGTCCCTTCCAACTTCGCTTCGCTTCACCCGCTTAGCACATGGATCCATGAAAGGGCTGCTATGATACTTTGAGGCAAACCTCTTTCTTTTTTTCCTTTCATAGATGGCAGGTTGGGCTTTGGTTATTTCAACTTCATCTTGAAGCACATCTTCCCATTCGACATTTTCAAAAGGCGTTGAGGCAGTGAGTGATGCATCCAAGAATGCATCATCCTAAACAATTGAAAGAAAATAGATGTTTACACATGTGCACGAGACAGGAACACCAATGTTTGCACACACACACTTGAAAGTAAACATAATGATAACAACTTAACCTTAGGCAGTGGTGACTCACAATCTCCTAAGACCATATCCACATCCTTCAACTGTGAAATAGTCAATGTTAGTTCACATTAATGAGTGGTCCAAAAAATTACTATGTCAAATTATTATGCACTAACTTCTTCCAAAAGAAAGCTTATGAGGGTTGATTTAGGCAATGCGGGAACACTACGCTCAACAGCTTCAACATCTTTCTCCTTAAAAAAAACAATCACATGTAAGTACAGACACATTCCAAACCACCTTTATGCACACTTAATTGCAAAGCAAGCGTACCTTTTCACCGGTGACCACAAGTGCCATTAGGGCCTCACTTCCCTGCTCATCTTCATCAGAGTCATGCTTAATTGGGGACAAAATGTCAACAATTTCACAGACTATTAGAAAATGACAAAACATTGGAAGGTTAGTTTTGGCAAGCATACCTTATCTGCAGTTACCACGTTCGGAGTGCCATGCTCACTTCCCTCATTGTCTTCCTCAGCCTGTAAACCACGAACATCTCAAATTATTTACACTTTCACATACAGTGTGAACTAAGCACACATACATTTACAGAAGTCTGTGCAGACATTTACAGCTTACTGCACAGACACTTTCAATGCGGTGCACAAACATAAGGCAATCATACCTTATCTTCATTTACCACTATCGGAGTGCCATGCTCACTTCCCTCATTGTCTTCCTCAGCCTGTAAACCACGAACATCTCAAATTATTTACACTTTCACATACAGTGTGAACTAAGCACACATACATTTACAGAAGTCTATGCAGACATTTACAGCTTACTGCACAGACACTTTCAATGCGGTGCACAAACATAAGGCAATCATACCTTATCTTCATTTACCACTATCGGAGTGCCATGCTCGCTTCCTACATTGTCTTCCTCAGCCTGTAAACCACGAACATCTCAAATTATTTACACTTTCACATGCAGTGTGAACTAAGCACACATACATTTCCTGTAAATGTACAGACATTTACAGCTTACTTCACAGACATTTACATATGCATATACAGACATTAGGCAACCATACCTTCTTTTCAGTGGCCTCATCCAGAATGTCATGCTCTCTACATTGTGTATAATGAACAGAATCATGCTTATCTTTCTCCTCATTGGTGACTTCCTGTTTCGTGAGCACATTAAATAATTGCGTAGACAGTTACATGTAACTACACCGACAATAAAATTGATGCACATATACATTTACTTCACAGACAAAACTAGTAACATGCACGTCTATTTTTTAATTCATACCTTCTCTTCAGTGGCAGCTTGCTGTTTGCCATGCCCAACCACATCCATCAGCTTACATAACATGCCTTTCACCTCATCAAGTGTGGCTTGGATACCTGTAACACTTGTCCTCAGCTTGTCCATGTCATTCCTTACATGTGCAAGTTCTTCCATGACCTTTAATTTCTTAAAAAGTTTGACATCCACATCAGCAGCCCCATCATCATCTCCATCATCTTCTTCAGTAGCATCTTCTTCGTCAGATTCTTCTTCACCATCTTCCTCTCCATCATTGTCATCATCCTGCAGTAAAATTCAAATTATTACAGTTGAATGTGTAATAATGGTTCATGCATATTATGCGAAAAAAAATTATAAAGTACTTCTTACACTTTCTTCTAAAGGCTCATCAGTAAATACTAGTTCCTTCAAAGAAGAATAGTGGAAAAACCCAACAGCTTTCCAATTCAAAATGCTAGCTTTTTCAGATTTCACTTTTTGGCCGCATTTCCCTGCAAGTCCAGGGATTTTCTCATACGCCCACACCTGTGTAAACAACCAAAGAAATTCTTGGTTAAAGCAAGTTAAAGACATTTTCTCATACGGCCACAGACAATTTCAGATTTTTACACAGACAATTCTAATAACACACAAACCAAGTTAAAGCGAACCTGCAAGACGTGGGGTAAGGACCAAACAGTGAACTTAGCATTCTTGTATTCAGGCTTCTTAGCTAATGAAGCTTCAAACTTCTCTGGTTGACCACGCATCAACGACTTCATGTTGCTCACCATAAGCTTATAGGACTCGAGTGCCCAAGGATACTTTTTGAAATTCTCAAAGTCTTCAACCCAATCAAAATGATCAGCATTGATCATTGTACCGTGGTCTCTAGTAAGCAACACACCATCAATGACGAAAAGGGAAGCGAACTTCAAAAATGCTAACGGCTCAATCCTCCTCTTTGGATTCAATGCCACCATTGTTTCCTTCAGATCTTGGTAAGTCACACGCTTCTTTCCTTTATAGAATATATCAGCCATACTACCTTTCTGCTTTTTTTTTAACAAATCTCGGTCTGGTGGTGTACGCGGGCAGGTTTGTTATTTCACAGAAATCTTTAAAAGTGAACTTAAAGATCTTCCCTCTTATTGAAAACCAAAGCTCATCCTCTGGTTGTTGCTTAACCAGCCGCAACAACAGCAAATGCACAATCTGGCCAGAAAATTGCAATTCTGGAGGTTTAGCAAAATGACCCCATGGAAGCTTTTTGAACTCCTCCCTTTGATCGAGGGGCATGGAATCCAGCAAGTCACCCAATTTCCCAAAAAAAGTGCACTGGGAATACTGTGCCGGGAAATGGGACTCAACGGGAACCATGAGTTCATGCTTTTTCCTACAAACAACACAAATGAAGTCATATATCTACACAGTCATGCCTTACAACAGATTCAATTCTACACCCCATGTTCAAAATCCAAAATAATGGCCCCTTAAGATACCGAAACCCCTTCTATGTTGAGCAAATTGAATAATTTAAGCATATACTTGAAAAATAACATACTGATTACACAAAATTATTTATTATCAAGGAACACAAACAACACATCACAAACTACGGACAAATGAAGTCAAATGTAAAATCAGAAAACGACTTCAATCATAATGAAATGCATAACCTAAACCGTCGGGCCACAGACATTTTCAGTCCATCCCCCAAACAAATTACAAATCCTACAATCCGACCCCTCAGGGTTCCCAAACCACCATTACAATGTGCTTCTCACTTCATGAAACTCATTGTTCAAGCGCATACTTTTGAAATACCATAATGATTTTATAAAAAACTAGAGGCACAAACCACAGAATCGGGGCTCAAAATCAAGAATACTACTCAGAAATGTGTTCAAGAAGAGGATATTACCTTCTTTTTGAAGCCCCGGCCAATGACGCCAGTGAAGTTCGGACCATTTCGCTAGTGGGTTCTTCAGGAGGGACGCCGGGTTTCGTAGTGTGGCTAGGAGACAGGGGATGCTTCACGATGAGGATGGTGTGTGCGATAGGAGACGACTTCAGGGGATGGAAGTGGAGAGGCGAAGAAGAAGACAACCGTGGGGGAGATATGCACACAGAACGAGAAGAAACGGCGAAGAAGAAAGGAAGTGGAGTGGCGGGAGGTTTGAGAAGAGGTTCACACGTGCGGATGAGAGGTGGGGGAGGGGGTAAAAAATTTAGTTTTGGCCTTTTATATGGTGTACAATTTGTGTACATCTAATGTACACATAGCATTTTCGACATGAACATTGAATATCAGGTTGCCTATTCCGTATCTCTATTTCAATCCCGACTGACAACCTTAATTCTAACTTCAATCATGTTAGAAATTCACCTAATTTCAATTCATGATTTACCAATATTTACACATTATTAGTACAACAAATCTCATGGAGAAAACTAAAATACGTGCAAATGTTCACAAATATATCAACATATATGTGGGTCAATTAGTATCAGCACATGCATTATCAATAACACTCTAACTACTGGCTCATCTTAGGTATGTTTTCTCTTCCTTAGATGCATTAACTTTCATTAATTAGTTAATACATGGAACGGGGGTCACACTTTTTCTAATTTCATATTAAAAACTCACATTGGCCATGCCGTGTGCACAATAGTAATTAATTACATATGAACATAGTATTCCATGTGTTTGATTTAATGGAGAGAAAGTTAAGTACGGAGTTGAAACAATGATCACAATTATCAATACAACACCCTCTTTTGAGGTGCGCATGTCATTGTACAAAAGGTTGAATTCCCAACTCCAAAAGTCTCACGTTTCAATCTGACAGAGCATTCGGGATGATGTAAAATCACGGTGACTCAATCAATTCTAATAGTGATAGATCTTATACTCGTGTGCATCAGGGGGCCAGTCCAAAATATAGGTGCCGTGAGCCTGTGACTTCTACACCATCGACACTAGTGTATCCAGGAAATTTGGGGAGTGGTGACAAACTTGTAGTACAATTTAGTCTCATATTTCACAAATAGTAAATCACATAATTAATATTGTTTGATTAAATTTAGTTTGAGATATATATGTATAAATATGAATAAAAAGAAGATTAATTTATATTACGAGTGCGTAAAGCGGATAAATTTTAAGAAAATTACCTAAATATAAGTTGAACATGACAAAATTTAGTTAAATTTTTAGCCTTTCATTCGTTTGATATGAAAGTAAACATTGGTAGTCCTGTTTTAGATTTTTTTCCTACATTTAACTCTTATTTTGAGTTAAATGTAGGAAATATTTTTCAGATAAATTTTTTGAAGAAGTTTTTTACACTAATAAAACAAGTTTTTTTTTTAAAAATTGAAGTTAGCAGGGGCCTAGTATAACTGTATACAAAAAAACTATTTGTACCCACTTATGTACCCACTTATGTACTCACCATGTCTGTGAGGAGTTTTTTTTGTCCGTGAATCCCGGTCATAAACACAAATATGTCTATGAAGACATATGGTGAGTACAATAGTGGGTAGAATAGTGGGTACAAGAAAGAAGCTCTCAACTGTATAACACCTAGCTCCGCCAATGCCTTCAGGTCCATGCCTCTGTTTAACCAAATACCAAGTAGATTAACCTGGTTTCAAACAATAAATCCGGTATTAATTAATAGCGATAGCGATCTTGTCGCCCAAAAGAAAATACAAAGAGAGACTTGGCTGTTTATAATTAGTTTAAAGAAAAACAAAGGCGTTTAAATTTCGAAAAGGTGGGTGGGTGGGTGTCCATCGTCTAAAGAGTCAAGCCTCTGGATCATCTCTCCCACTATGCCCGTCTCTACTTTTTAGAGAGAGAGGAAGAATCAGATCAAACAAACCCAGACCCATTCCCTAACTGCACTCCCACCTAAATCTAAAGCGCGAGTGATTGGAGAGAAGAGACAAAGAAAGAGACTCATGGGATAAGACTGTAAATACAGAACCCAATAAAATCATAAACAAATCGCCAAAGTAAAGGGAAAAAGCGGATTCCGAACAGTAAAGTAAAAGCAGTTGAAGGAAGCAAATGCTGCCTTTGTTCAGCTAAGTGGTTTCTACTTTCTATGGTGCAGTAGAATCCATTCGCTTCAGCTTGGTGCATCTGGGAGCTCCGGCAGGGGTGTAATCGCCCTCTTTCTGTTCGCCTTTATGCCTGTCTCCGGTGCTTCTTCCGTTGAAGCTGTCGGCGGAGGTATCATCGGCAACTGGCGGCTTCTGGAAGGAAACAAGGCTCCCGGATGATACTGTAGCCGTCGCCTCGCTGATCTCGCCTTGCCCCCCGCCGTCTTTTGCGCAACTGGGTAAATTACCAACAAGCATAAAGGGGGTCTTTTGTTGGGAACTTGAAAAAATGGCAGTTTGAAAATTGAAACCCTAGGAATCTGTAGATTTGGTAGATATTTTGAGCTGTGCGAGATACAGTAATTGTGCAAGTAGATGAAATCCCTCAAACGGAATCAGGCTTCTTCTAATTCGCCTTCACCTTCTTCATCTTCATCCTCATCCGCTTCAACTTCGTGGGTTCAGTTGAGATCGGTTCTCTTCGTAGTAGCCTCCTCATCACCTGCTGCCTGTTCTTCTACTGATCGGTCAGTCTCTCTTTCTCTTTATCAACTCTGTTCAGTAAAGTTAAGTTCTTTCACTTCGCAGTTCATAATTGAGATCTTGATCACAGAGATACAGACTCTTTTAATTTCGTAATTTCCTTATTTTACTTTACGGTCTTTACCCAACTGCATATAATGAGCAATAGAGCAATTCCCAATTTCCTTCAAGTTTGATTGAAAACGAAGTGTTTGAGGTATCATATGGGTCTTGTTAAATTTCATCTGACAGCCAAATGTTTTTTGAATTGACAACTTTGGCTTTCAGGATGTTGTCCTTCTAAGAAACTAATTGCACATCTGAATGTTATTTAAGAATTAATAATTTGATATATGCATCAAATTGGGTGTTTTCTGCTCTCCCTTTTTCGGTTTCTATTTTATTTTTGGTTTTCCAGAAATATCCTACCGTATATGACAGCTGTTGTTTAGCTTCTGCACTTTGGTGTTAATTTAGTGAAAACTTTAATCTTGCAGAGGTCATCACAAATCACCATGGTCTAGGCGAAAAAGAAAACATATCCTTTCGCCCCAGCAATGGAAGAGTTTTTTCACATCAGATGGAAGGCTTAGAGCTGGTGGAGTTAAGTTCCTGAAGAAA